ACAGAGGTGCTGTTAGCTGAACTGTGTCTGCGGTGGAGAGCATCCTTGGTTGGGGGAAGCGGTCGGGGCTCTGTCCCAGCGGTGATGGCAGCCCTTCCCACAAAACCAGCTGAAGGGGCACGGCTTGGCTGCCCAGATACGGGAAGGGCAGAGCGGGGCATTCCCTCCTCCCACACTGGGGACACGTCTGTCCCTGGGACCATGGGTGCTCGGGCCAGGATGCGCAGCCCAGCCCCACACGCCGCCCTGCCGCTGTGGACCTAGATCCTCCTGACCCGACCCTGGCTGCTCTACAACTCATCCAAGCTGGTGTCATCCCTTGCCGCTGGCTGGAAGAATAAAAATCCACAGACAGGAATTTTTGACGTAAGAGCAGCCACAGCATCCTCCGGCTCCCCAGCTCACCCAGTGGAGGATGCTTTCTGAGCCTAAAACAAGACGTGCGTTACGCAAGTCTTTTTATCCTTTTTATTGACAGAGAGCTTCCAACATTTACACATCCAACATTTATACTTCAGAATTGCACTTGATTGGTTACTCTCGGATTATAAAGTAAAATTATGTACAACTCAATTACAAACACAGTAGATAAACCCTCTTCAACGGTAAATTTTGGGGACCACACCCATAAGCTATGTCACAGCACTCGCAGTTCTTTCCATTTGGTTGCAGGGAGATAATCTCAAGCTGATCCCAAAATCAAGTGTTAAATCATTTGGAAAAACCACTCTGGACTATGCAGTAAGAACAATCGTGCTGGGGTTAAAATAACAAAACAGAACACAACAGTAAGGTACAAGGCTTTACATTTGTGTTTTGTTCATCTAGTCGTTCACATGGCTTATGGTAAGAGATATACAAAAATAACCAACAATCTGCAAGTGCTTGTTCTGCAAGACTGGCTTCCGAAAACAGTACCTCGTGGTGCCCCAGTGACAGCTGAACAGGACAGTGCTCTGCTGGGAAGGGAGAACTTTGTGGGTCTCTTTAGAACAAGACTAACATGTTGATGGAAATGGCTATTTGTGTTTTTCCCTCTAATTAGATGCACGTTCCTGTTAACAGGCAGGCACTGGTGAAAATGCAGAAACAGAAAGTACACAGTAGACGCATTTCGAATACTTCCCGCTCCCAAGGGCGCATCAGGAGAAGCTCACAGACGGGTGATTTACCTCTGCATCAGACAAAACCCCGAACCTCAAAATTTTGCTTTACCAGCAGCTACAAGCCCTGGTGTCTCAAGCTGGATTCAGGCTTAACAATTTTAAATTCCATCACAGTTTTTTTTTCCCTTATAAACAGGATTCCCAGGAAACCTTCAAATCTTTACTTCATTTTACGAGATGCTACATCTCTCTTTACCTTATTAAGTGATCATTTAGCAAGGCCAAGTTAAAACCGGGAAGGTACACCAAAACCACAACGTGGGCTTTCTAGCAGCCAAACAAACGCAGGGCACTTTTGCCCGTCTTTGCTCTAGACAAGGTGAGTGAGGTCCCCTCATCTGAGCCATCCTCCTGGCACTGCCAAAGCCTGACTCGAGTTGGGGCAGCATCCTTCCTCACTCACCCCTGTCCACCCTCACCAACCGGCCTCAGCATAACGGTCAACTAGGTCAGGTTAGACGGGGTGAAAACAAAGTGCACAAAAGATGTGGGGTTTGTGTCCTGTTCCCCACGGAGGAGTAAGTTAAGGCTTTGGCTTGGTGTGCACCTGCACCTACTCTGAGTGCGGTGTCAGAGCAAGAGCTGCCCTGGGCAGCCGCCTGCCAGCCCTGCCACGAGCAGAGCAAGAGGCCAAAAATCTGCTTTTCTTCCGCAGCATCACAGCAGCCCTGAGGCGTCCTGGGGCTGAGCTGGCACCCAGCCAACCCACGGTGGGAGCCAACATGGTCGGGGTGCACAGCACCCCCTGAAAAAGCCTTTTAAGTGCAAATTCAGACAGCGATTCCCTGCATCAGAGTCGCCCCAGGCAGGTGGCATTTGATCAGAAAGTGAAAAGGTTCACACGCAACAACTTTCTGATGTTTGGTGGCATCTGCCAAGACACCTGCAAGTTCTGCATTCGGCCGGGAAACCACCTGCCTGCGGACAAGCTCCGCTGCCCCGAGCGCCCACCCAGGCGGGCTCCTCCCGGGGCTTTCAGCCCACCGAAAGCGTCGGCACTTCAAGAGAAGCACTGAGTCACTGCCGCGGCAGGAAGGGTGTTTCCGCAAGGTACTTGCGGGAAAGCCTCAGCGTGACACAAAGACAGTGCCAGGGCAGAGACCTTCAGCTGAAGTTTAAAACCAATTTTAGTAGAGACAGGAAGATTCAGAATAGTAGTTCTTTGTAATAAGGCATTTACATTTTTTTCTCTCCAGTAAAATTACTGATCTATAAGGATTGCCATTTGCACAATGGTTCAGACTCACATTGAAGTAAGAGCTATAACTCTACTTTTATATAAATATTTTCAGTGCTTTCAGTAGTCACAGATAATGCCCGACTTATGCATCCTATTTTTATGAAACAATTTTTTTAAGTACGTCTCACTCACACAAAGACATTCACCATTAATCCTCTTGGCAGCAGCAGCACTTTCCACCTCAGGACACTTGAGAAACCCCTGAATCCTGACCAGGACCAGGCACAACGGGACCTTAGTGGGGCTGAGAAACTCAACGTGCAGAGGTACCCAAAGCGTGGGATTTTCTTGAGCCTACTCTATTGCAGCGTGAAGGTCTTTGGCATCGTTGTGACTTCACATGGGGATAACTGCACTTGATTTCTGAACAGCATTCTCAGCGGGGTGGCAGAGAGCCTCCCAGCCCAGCCCAGCCCATCCCACCCATCGGGAGCTGCCGCAGCCAAAAGTCCCGAATGCTGCGGGCAGCGGCAGGGAGCAGCCGGGCTTTGTCACCCAAGGTCTGTTGGTTGCTGCTTCAAGGCCAATTTCACAGGAGGGAAAAGCAGAGCACTGGGATCAGCAGGATCAAGTCCAACACATCCACAGGTGCCTCCCCGCTGTGCCTGTTCCCTAATCTAGATGTTCATAATCAGCATCGCCAGGAGGAGAGGGAAGATTCCTACAAGAGACAAATAAGAAGCTTCAGTCTTTGCCCCAAACATATTCAACTCTCTTTTCCCTCCCTGGTCCCCTTGGCCTTCCCCCTCCTTTTCACAGCGTGATCTTAAAGCCACAACAATATAAATACGACAACAGACTGTAGTGGGAGGCTTTTAAGCCTATTTCAAGCAGAACACACAGGAGAGAATAACATAAAGACAGGCAAGAAAGCGGTACAGGGGTTCAGGAATATGTATTACTTACCAACAATGATGATGTTTGCTCCACCTGGAAAGGAAGCGAGCCAAAACGTGAAACTCGGCCCCCCTTCAGCACGGTAATTCAACAAACCACACAACATGCAGTATCTCAGATCAGAGGCGATGCACACGGAAGACAATTCAAGCAACACACAGAACAGAACCCCTGCACAGCCCAGCTCCCCAGATGTTCATCTGTTAAAACCCACATGCATTTACCAGGATACATTTCCACTAGCCTGTGAGTTCATGCCACAACCTAACCATGCTCGTTCGGCACTAGATTTTAACTGAAGCTGTTTCAGGAAGCATCGAAGGCTTACTCCTCAGCAGAATTATCTGGCTTGAGGATTCATAGAGGAAGGAAAAAACAGGTATTTTGAAGACAGAGAGGAAGCAGCAAGACAGACACGGGAGATAGTCACCTCTGCATTCGGGAGCAGGGTTGCTCCAGACCCCACGGTATTGATCTGCTTTACAGTGAATAGAGGCTGCTCCAGCAAGGGTGAAGCCATCCTTGCATTTATAAACTACAATGGAGCCGTGGACAAAGTCTGTGCCCTTTGTGCCATTGTGCATCCCGTTGTCAATCGTGGGGGGCTCTTCACAGAGAACTGGGAGCTGCCCTACAAGAGGAACATCAGCAAGAGCATCTGAGTACTTCTCCTGCGTGAAAAGGTGAAGAGGTGTACGGGGAGAGGGAGGTACAGCCAAGTGCCAGCAGCAACTGAAAATACTTCGAGCTTTCTTGCTTGGTACTGGACCAAGCCCGTTAGCCACAACTCCAGGATCTCACCGCACGAAAGAAGCCACTGAAGTGCCTAATTAGGCTGGAAGAAATGTTTCAGCCATTTCTAGCTTCACATAACACTCTACACTGACTTCTTAACACCCGATTTCAGGACTATACCAAATTGAGTGGACAGAGCTCTAACATCCAGTTATCTTCAACTTTCCCTGGTAACTAGAGAAAGAAAACTTTCCTCCTGTGACTGTTTTTTGGTTTTGTTTTCTATAATTTCTGCTCTTCCCTTGCTCCTTCCACTTTGTCAGCATAATTTCTGGATTGTACGAGAATGTTGCACCTAAGACCTCACAGCATGAGGTAGTATTGAATTCCTGAATTTTACAGTCGATTGATTTAAGAAGCACAAGTAAGAGCGGTCCAAGCCCACCAGCAAGGCAGCTACACCAGTGCAGTTTCAACTATTATCTTAATGGCTCTGTACAGGGTTTTCCCCCTCTTACTTTCACAGTTTGGAGATGCTCTGTCCCAATCAACTCCACTTCCTGATACCACACATTTGGCAGAAGATGGCTCCTTTAATTCATACCTACAGAAAGAGAAGAAGTTTAGTACTTTCCAGAAGACAACCCAGCAAGGGTTCTTCCCCCACCTCCCCACCACTGCATGCAGGTAACTTATTAACCAGGAGTTGTCCCTGCTATGAAATGGGATCTGGCCACATCAAAGCCACTAAACAAGGGCACTAGTAAGAGCCGAACTGAAGCCGTTCACTGCATTACCAAGCACACACGCCTTGCCACGTGCTCATCTCACTGACGACATAATCTACGGTTTCACTGGAGACTTGCACTGGGAAACCAGGGGGATGGGGGGTGGATGTTACTGCCTGTGATCTTTGTCTTCTGAGCCCCGAGTTGGTCCCTTTTAAGCGGTGATCCACTCACCCGGGATGACAGGTGAATGTCACAACTGTCTCAAACAGGAAATTGTCTGCAATCACATCCCCGTTCTCTATCGTGGGAGGAGTACATTGCTGGCCTAGAGGAAAAGAAAGCAGCATGGGAATTACTTCAAACCCAGAGATGGGCATGACCCACATTTCAGAGTAACATCTGAAGGGTGTACAGATCACCCACACGGTCAGTCCAGACACGAGAGGAGCAGAGATACTCACGTATACAGAAGTCTGGGTCTGCAGACCAAGTTGCATCATTCAGACAAGTGACAACAGTGGACTTTCCACTCGCTGCAGTATAACCCGGTTTACACCGATAGGTCAGCTTCGTTCCAGCAAGAGAGCTGTCACCCACAGCACTTGTTAACTCAGCGAAAGGGAAGGGTGGAGCAGGACCACAGTAGACTAACAATTGGAACAAAAGCAAGGGTAGTTACAGAAGAGTACCCAAGGGGTCTGCAATAACAACAGCAAACTGCACGGTTTGGAGCACACAGCATTTTAACCCGTTTGAATGTCAGTGTCTGCGATACACTTTGCATCCAACCCATTTAGCAAACAGCAGCGTACAGCACAGTTTGCTTAACCAGAGAAACGATGGAGATTGGGTAGCATCTCTGCCTCAGAGACGCTCCTTCACTGACCACCAACCCAACCCGCAGGACCTCGATTCAGCTGAGCTCAGGAGCCAAACGTCCCCAACGGGCCTGGGAGCTGCTGAAGCCAGCCTGTCACGAGCAGAAGGCAATTTTGTCCCTCCTGTCAGTGCACTTTCAGACCATTTGCTGTTCACAAATAAATACCTTCAGGTCTAAAAATACAACTGGCCTGGGCTGCCACGCTGCCTGTGGACCCAAGCCAGCGTGCTCTGCAAGGGCATGGCTACAAGCATGCAAGCTTCGGGGGCTGACCTGCTCAACACCTCTTAGACCTACTTCATCGCAATTGCTCAAGGAAATAAATTTGTTTGTACTCACTTGGGTCACATGTTGGCAGAGGAGGCTTCCAGCTATTGTCCGCTTCACAAGTAACTACGCTACTGCCATTCAAAAAATGACCAGGATTACACTCAAAGACCACTGTCTCTCTATACGTGTGCTCAGTGCCAAAGCCAGACAACCTTCTCCCATTTTTCACTTTGGGATTTTTACATCTGACCACTGGAAGTGAAGATAAGACAATAAGAATATTTTTTACAAGAAGGAAAAGCCCGGCAGCAACACCAGAGGCATTACGTGAGAAGTTTACTAAGAGAACTGCCATCCTTTCACTTTGAGAGCGGCAGGTTCCCCGTGGGGTGCAAGTACTTCGTCAACAGAGACATCATTAAGAAACTGCACACGCAAGAGCTTCATTTCTCATGTGCAGGAAGCTCTGGGCACGGGCAGGGAGAGGGAGGCTTTCCGTGGGCTGAAGAATCCACTAAACCAAGCCCTGCCTCCGACCACGACTTGGGAGACCACTGCATTAAGCTTTCTGGGAATCCTTTGGGAGTCAAATCAACCTTCTCATGTTTGGCAGCCCATCGGGAAAGTATAGATCGGGAGAGGGATGAGAAACAAAGTCAAAAGAATAAGAGGAGAAAGAAAGTATTTACCTTTGCATTCAGGGGCTGGACCGCTCCATATTCCCTCGAAGTTATCATCCATCGTACAGCGAATTGTCTCATCTCCAATAAGAGAAAAACCTTTGTTACAGCTGTAGGTTACAGCCATGCCAAAGATGAAGTCTCCGTCCCCACTGCTGAGCTGCCCATTCTCAATCACAGGAGGTGGTAAACAGGGAATAACTGCATGGGAAAGTAACAGCAAGAAAATGCAAGAATATTTCCGTCGAATATGAAACTGAGGTCTAGCTGCTAAAACAAAACCCAGGAAAGAAACAATTCAAACAAACAAAATAATAAAAGCCAAGTTATAAACAGAGAAGCAGTCCTAAAACAATCATCTCAACATAAAGTCTTGAGTGCGCCTTTAAATTCTGAACGTTTTCCAGGGTTTTTTAAATGGATGAACAGTAGAACGGCAAAACAGCATCTCTTGCCCAAGAGGAGATACTACAGAAGAGGCTTTCTGGAGGCAATAAACATGGTCTCACCAAGCAGTTTGGGACCCTCACCTCCTGCTGATAGCATTTCCTACCTTTGTTGTGCTAACAAGGATAAGGCCCAGAATGCCTATTAGAGCAGCAAACCATCTAAACTATCAGCAGCTGATGGTCAGGCCCATCCCACCGGGTGCTAAAAAAGCCCAAATAGCATCAACAAAACTCTTAGCATTTATTTCCCCTTTGAAAAATCAAGATTTTGGATGTGCAGCCACGTCTGAAGGCATCCTGCTCCCGGTCAAGCGCAGCTGTTGATAAACAATTCAGCAACGGTTGCCTGATGCAAATCACAACACGAGTGATGCGGCGTCCGCACCAGGCTGGCAGAAAGTTTGCTGCGTGCCTGTGCTGGGCGATACCAACAAACACCCTCGGCAGCTGCTTTTCTCACCTATCTGACTACAGAGCTGCTGCCAACATCCACAGATCCTCCTTCGTATTTAAATTTTCATTCCCAGCTCCACCAAGAGTGCTTGTTTGGGGAAGGGGTAAGGAGTCAGTCTCGTTAAAGGCTAATGTAATTTGCATTAGGTGCCAAGAAGACAGTCTCCACCTGCTGCTCTCCAGACTGCCAGATATATTGTAAGAGCTTCAAGAAAGAGATGTACACAAACATTTAAGATCTGCTTACTGGCACAGTGTGGAACGCTATCCCAAGAAACTTCATTGTCTTTAAGTACACATTCCGCAGTCGGCTTCCCAACTAATCGGTACCTAAGAAAAGAAAATGTTGAATCTCTTTGAAAAAAGTGAAAAAAAACCTTGGGAAATTCAGAAAGTTGTATGGTTTCTAACGGTATTCTCTGAAGGAGTTGAACCCTAGGGGAAAATTAGCTAGCCCTCCTATAAAATACAATTTTCTCAATACCTAAAGAAATGCAACATATGACACAGTTAGAGGAAACTTAATACTTGCAGTGGGTGGATACAAGCTCACAGGACCATGAGGAAGACGGCATCCCCACCCTGAGTCTGTTCAGCCCCGTGCTGAGCAGTGGTAGATCCCAATAGCAACTTTCTTCCCGAGCAGAGCCAGGTGTCACTGACGTACCGTAACCGCCGTCTTTCCCTCTCGCCCCAGGACACCCCAGCCCTCTTCTCCCAAGGGCCCTCAGCTAAGGTGTGGGCAGCCGGACCCACCACACAACAGCAAACACGGAATTACTAATGAGCACCAACAGGAAAGGAACAAAATTCCTTGCAAAGCAGCTGAAAAGCAATCTGCAAAGACCACGCTCTCATGCCCCGAAGATAATCTGTTTTGACAACAAAAGCAGGAGAGAGCCTGACCCCCACGGCTCCCCTCTCCGAACGCCTCCCGCCGTGCCTGTGCTTGCCAGGGAAACAGCCCCCAGCTATTGAAAGCCTCCGAGTCTCCTGTGGGTGCTGTCTCCCAGCCTCGGCTCCGTCGACTCCCCAGGAGCCTGGGCTAACACTTACCCCGTGTTACAGCTGTAGGTTATTCTCGCCCCAAACAGGACGTTGGTCGTGTCGTTAAACTCGCCATTCATGATCTCTGGTGCACCACAGGACTTGCCTGGAAGAGCAAGCGATCAGCATTACCTTTATTTTATAGCATGATAGTGAAATGCAGGTGACGGTGCTGTTCAGTGTCATTACAGACTAACGGACCATTTATCGGGCACTTAACTTCCCTCACGAGCAAGTACCAGCATTTTCAGGAAAGATAAAAGAACATTAACTTCTGGGGAACTGAAAGTTAAAACACAAATAAGAAGCACATAAAAGCACAGATAAAGCTAAGGACAAATGAAAAAGCCATGGATTATGTGCTTACTGAGAAAGGAAACTGATAAAGAGCCCAGCGAGCTCAGGGCAGAGGTCTTGGTCTGTAGGGACCAAGGAGAAGGGGATGGGGAGGGACCCACTGGTGGCCCTAGGGTCAGTACAGGGGCGATACCATGGGGACAACAGACTCCCGCAGCCTCTTCCACACCATACCTTGTTTTGGTATGAATATTATAGCATTTACACTACATCTCCAGATGGTAAAGTAATTAAGAAGGACAAACATAATCTCCCAGAGATTAACATTTCTCAGCAGAAAGGCAACCCCAGGCAACCACACAGGGCGAGCGGTCGTCTCATCTGCC